CATTTTGTGCTTACAGTATGAGTTGCTTGATGAGATGATGGATTTTGGTCACCCACAATACACGGAGGCTAAGATCTTGAGTGAGTTCATCAAGACAGATGCATACAGGATGGAGGTCACAGCCAAAAACCAAAACGAATCGAAAATACCAACCGAAAAAAAAGAAAAAAAACCTTTAGTCCCGGTTGGTACCAACGGGACTAAAGGGCCGCCCATGTGGCCAGGCCGGAGGCCTCTTTAGCCCGGTTGGTATTACCAACCGCCCTTTAGTCCCGGTTGGTATTACCAATCGGGACTAAAGGAGGGACCTTTAGTCCCGGATTCGTGCTCCGGTTGGAAAAACGGGACTAAAGGGGTTTCCCAACCGGGAGTACAACTTGTTTCTGTACTAGTAATATACTTAAAGAGAGAAAAATACATGCCAACCCTTCTCAACAATTCAGATCTTCAAAAGATAGTTTTCACTAACACCGAAATATAGGTCTTCTAGCAGTAATATTTTGTGCGATATTAAGCCCCGGATTGATAAGTTTTCTATGTTTCCTAAGTAATTCTGTAACTACTCATATCCATCTCGTCCATCCCTGTTCTTTCCTGCTTCCCCAAGATGACATCGACACAATCTTTACATCGCGAATCTAAATCAATTCCTACTCCGTAGGCATCAAATTAACAGTGAACGGATCAAATTAACACAATCTTTACAAGAACGGATCAAAACAATTCATTTATCAAGAACTATAAATGATTGCAGAATTTATCAGCCATTGAATCCCGAAACGATGAAATATATGCAATTTAGTGATTTCTTAATGAGCAGGAGAAGTGTGTTACCTTTACCGGGAAAGTCCCTGGTGGGAACTTGGTGGTGGGCAGGTCGCGGAGCCGTCACGCACACGGTTGGCCAGGATGTCCAGCAATGGCAGGAATTCATCGACGCTCAGGGGAAGTCCTCCGTGAGCCACAACAACGGCCGCAGCGTCTTCACCGTCTCATCCTCCTTCCACTGGCCGACAGGATCTGGTGCTCCGGCAGCTGTGGCCACCGTGGGCTGCCTGGCCCCGCCGGCTGCCGCCGCCCTGTCCGGCTGTGGGCCGCCGGGCGATCGGTTGAGGTGCCCTAGCGCGCGCACCGGCTGCCCGCCTGGCCGCGACGTCCTCGCAGCAGTTCCAGTTGCGGTCGGGGGGACTCAGGAGGCCGATAGGCTGAGGCGGAGGGTGAGGCGGGGGACCGGCGAGGACGAGGAGGAGAAATGACGGCGGCGGCGGCAGATCTAGCTAGGAAGGGGATCAGTGGGAGGATTAGGCCCTGTTTGGTTTACAGAATTTTCAAAAGATTTCTAAAGAAATCAGATTCCTGTAGTTTTAAACACTGTAGCAGTGTTTGGAACGGAAGACTCATGAGTTCCTCTCCAGAGGAAAGTCTCCTGCACTTAGGTTTTGGAGGAATGAAAGAATCCACTGCTATCTCTTGTTTTCTATTCCTTCAGGAAGTCTAAGACACTCATGCTCACTAATGCAACTTGGTGCAGGCTTTCACGGAGACAAAGGACAAAGCAGTCATTAATTAACACTCTAAAGTAGGGTCCATATAGTCTGTGCAAGCATCGGCACGGCATATATGGCTGACCATAATATTTTGAATTTTTTGTTAACTAACATATGCTGCTTTGTTTAAGAAAAATAGTTGTCTAGTTCTTGTTTAGTCTAAGTAATTATGTTTACCACTAACCCCTCAATTCCTATGCTACTCAGATTCCTTTGTTCCAAACACCAAATCCTTTAGAATTCCTGTGTTTTTTATTCCTCTGTTATGCACATAGATTCCTTTTCTATTCCTGTGTTTCTTCCTGTTCCTCTGTTTTGTATTCCTCCGTTCCAAACAGACCCTTAGGGTTAGGAGCGCACAATTTGAAGTTGTACATGACGATCTAATTTGAAGTTGTTGGGTGGCAAACGAAGGCGGGACTAAAGATGGCAGCGGGCGTGATGCCCGCGGATACTACCTTCTTATGCCCGCGCCCGCCAGCTAAATCTCTTGCCCGCGCCCGCGCCCGCGACCCGCCACGGGCAACAAACCACGCCCGCGCCCTCCATCCGCGGGCATGAAATGCCCGCGGGCATGCCCGTGTGCCCGCCAGATTGAGCATATACATAAACCATAGTGCATTACAAGAGATATGAAGATACATATTCACAACAAATCGTGTATATATACATATATTTGCTTGTAGGTCCCACATGTTAGACCTGTGGAGCGGGTCTGGCGGATAAGCGGGCGAGGATAGCAAATTTCTTTGCCCGCGAAGAACTATCCTCTGGGTTCAGGATGGTGCCCGCGCCCGTGCTCGCGGGCAAGAAGTGGTGCCCGTATCCTTGCCCGTCGGGTTCCATGCCCGCGGGCATGCGGGTATTCTGTGCCCGTTGCCGTCTTTAGGCGGGACTGTGGGAGTATGATTTTTTTTACCATCATTTTAGCCTTGGCTCTCGCTCTCCTATGTTGTCCACTCTATCTACCAATCACATAATCTTGATTTGGTAGATAATAATGCAATTTGGTCCCAGTCAAATTTCGGAATACATATCAAATGTTCGATACTATATTGATGGATGAATGTATGCACATATATGTTTTTTCCAAACACATAGTTCGATTTTTGAATAATTCCATTTAGTAGCCATAAATGCATTTAAATTCTCAAAAGTTATATCATTGCAAAAAATATATAATTTTTTTGGTGAAACTTTTTATTATGTTATATGGATGTGGTTTGGCCCAAAAAAGTTCTAGAATTTTCTGAAAATATTTATACATTATTAAAACCTTAGAACTGTCAACTAGCTAATAAAACTAGTTACTGTAGTATACAAACATTTTAGTTTTTTCATCCAAACTCTCCCAATTTTGAAATGCATATGTGTACTCATATATACATTTTTGCGTTGTATATGTTGAAGTTTTGTCATGGAACTCTTTTAAGATGTTATATGAAGTTGTATTTTGGTCCCTTTTTTTTAATTTTTATGTGTTCTCCTATTTCTAGATAATATTATTTATTTTTATGCAAAAAATTGATATAAATATTTACATGCAGCGATGACACTATTGTCACTGACATACTGAAAATTTGGAATCCATAGGCAGGAGTTTGCCCGTTAGGATTTGGAGCATTTCTTATTTACTATTTTCTACACAACTAACATGAATTATTGTTTGCTTATCGAAAGTACTACTTTGTTAAAATCATTTAATTTTTTTTAGAAATATTATGCAGCGAAAACATGTTGCGATGAAATTTTGTATAATTTTCTTACTATGTTTAGCTATTATTACAATTACTCGATGATAATTTCATAAAACAATTATAGTGGTAAGTCTACTCCTTCAAGAAGGTCTTATAGGTTGAAGTCCCACCTTCACAACTTTTTTTGTCCTATTTTTTTATATGTGTTCCTATGGTCCAACTTCACAACTTTTTGGTCAATTTTTTACATTTTAAAACCAAATATAAATGCTATTACAATTGTTTTATTGCTATTCAACATTTAACTTATTATACAAATTGTTTACTATGCAAAAGTAAACACAAACAATCGTATATTCCAATCAATATATAAAAATAAGTTCAAATTATAAAAAGGTATATTGTTCCATAAATTTGTAACACTGTGAGAATGTTCTACGATTTTGGTGTTTAATGGCACGTGATAACACGATCAACAAAGGGTTTCATAGAGCCATCGAGCCCGAACACTTGAGAGCTCTAGAAGTCTTTTGTAAAGTTTCGTTGGCTGACTAGAGCTCCCTTCGTTCACCAAGTTGACCGTGGTCAACAACCAATCCAGATCGTCCGTCTTAGATCCAGCGACCAAGACAATTCTTCCCCCTTCCCTTGTTTCTGGAGTGTTACTCAGCTATAGAACCATAAACCCACTGATAACATAAAATGTAGCCGCTAAATGACACATAAACCCACTAGATTTTGCCAATCTAAACTCATGCCCATAGACATAAAATGTAGCCGCTAAAAAGTCCATGACCTGTCACGGGTTTAGATTTGTGTCCATACTCGTGCCTACAATAGCAAGTCCACGAAGAACTCATACACTGAGGTATCTATTAAAAAATACTTTTAGCAATTTTTGTGGATGAATTTTTTTTGGAACAACATATATTTTTCCATTTGTTGCCGCGTACTGCAAAAACACCCTTTGCCGCCTAATTGGAGTGCTTCACATTTTCATTTCGCGCCCAATCGCAGTGCAATGTGTGTTTTACTGAAAAAACGCATCTATATTAACCTCCCATAGTCCCACGTCCCCTCAGAAGCCTCCATCTCTTCTAGATCTAGCGTCCCCTCTGCCACAAACCTAAGGATGAAAACGGAACGGAAATATCCCGAACCGAATCGCATCGTTTTCTATATTTAATCCGATCGAATCCGTATTTTCTTGTCCGACTTTATCGTTTTCGCTTTCGCATTTAAGATGTTTCGTATTTCAAATGTAAAAGTAGAAAACAATTTAGACATTTTTCGACCGTAGAGAGGGACCGGACATGTAAAAGATTCTACTTCTACACTTGCTGTGAAAGTATGATCTCTTGGCTACATCCATGACATATGATCTCATGAATGGTTCCATTTATCGTTTTGGTTGTAGAGAGGGACCGGACATGTGCAGTAGCTGCTGCATTGCCATCGGCCTGTTAAGAAGCAATAGTTACTTGACTTCTATTTCTTACATCAACTGGGGTAGAAAATGAGGGATTTGGTGAGACAGATCGGATGGATTCTATGCTAGTTGATTTAGCTGGTGAGCACCCACCATTAATAAATGCTTTTTCCTGCATGAAAGCTGGCCTTAAGAATTGTGATGCCAATGGGAATGCTTGGCCCAATTCGTAACGAGTAAAGAAACTTGTTGTATGTAGAAGCACCTTCTATCTAGTTTCATGCTTTTCCTATGTAGTTTCGACTAATAATTTCTGTTATTTGTAGGATGACTATAATGAAGCATTGCAAGAAAAGTATCCAGAGAACTGGCAAGAGCAACCTTTTGATGGTCAAATTGCATATGATATTGGTGGTGGCTTGCCGCATGGTCGTGCATGCAATAGGAAATGGTGCTGTCAACATGGTTACAATAATTGATGCTGCCAAGGCAAGTGGAACAAGGCCAGCAACCTCAAGGGCTTTTCAAACCCTGTTGGCAAGATATGAGAATGCTGCATTGACTCGAGATGTGAAGCGTAATGGTTGTGTACTTGAGGTATAATTCTGTTTTGGTGCACTATCTGTCTACAGTTCAAGGTTCATAAATACTAATTATGTATAATTATGTATCTTAACCTGCAGCTCATTCTTAACAAAGTACAAATAGAGATACCACCAGACCTGCTTCAGGTAGAAGAAAATGACATGGTAAGATTAACAATTTCTTCACCTGCAGCTGCTTGTGCTCAAAATTGTCTTGCTGTACCAATATGTATCTTGCTTGTGCATGTGCTTAAAATAGAGATACCACTAGCTCTCATTATCTTCATCTGTATGTGAAAAGATTCTGTAGAACAAGTGGCTATTTTTGCTTGTTGGTTGTTGGGTGTGTGTTGCTGCTAGTAAGTCCTAGTTTATTTGTCTAGTGAATGAAACTATGCAGCTGCTGCCTTTTATTTGTTCAAAGTGTTTCAGTGGTTGTAAATAGATGCATGCTTGCTTCCTGTAAGGATTGGCGTCAGCAGTAGGCTGTTTTATTTATTTATGCTTGCCTCCTGGAATGATCCTATATATTTATTTTTTTGTTGTAGGGAGGGACTATAGATGGATCATCTCGTGCTTCAGCCAACCTGGACATGGACAACAGTGATGGCCATTGAGTTGTGCGATGGCAGGAAGTATTTTGTGAAGCTGTAGTCTTTTGTTTATCTACTATAGCTGATGGCAACAAAGTTCGAAGGCCATGCATGTGTCATGCTGGGTATTTTGTGCAAGGGAGGTATCTTGGTTGTGCATGAGCTGCTGCATATCTAGGCTGTGAAGCAAAATATGCGGATTCCATCACGCTTCAAGGCATGCATGCTAGTTGTCTGAGTAGCAGCGGCATGTTGCCTATTCACTGCGTGTGCTTGTGCAAATGTGGGTGCATACTGCCATAAAAAAGCAGATTGCTACCTGTAGACTTCCTGGGTCAAGGAATGTCGATTTCTTTTGGCTATCTTGTGCAGAAGTGGCTGCATACTGTCATGAGATAGCAGCTAGCTACTAGTTGTGTTGGGAGGATAGCATCTAATTGTAAGTTAGCACTTTTAACTTGTGCTGTCCCTTTTAGGTCCCTAACTTGAAGGATGACTAGGAGGCACTAATTATTATAAAGCTTTGTATTCATGAACAACTTGAATGATGTTCTAAGATTATTGAATGTAATATTTATTACTTAAGCGTGGATGAATGGTTACATCAGTTGCTGTAATATTATTTTTAGTGGCCGATTAGTTGCTGTGAACAGTAGAATAATAATGGCTAAATAATCAGTGATTTTGCCGGTAAATGATCGGAAATATTTTCCTGACGGTTGGACACCGACGGAAAGTTTATTTCATGGTCGGCGGTTAGCGAACCGACGGAAAGTTATTTCATCCCTGAAGGTGCTGCTGCGACAGGGAAAGTTTGAAATTTATTTGACAGTTTCTCGACCGACGGAAAAGCTAAAAGTATCCTCGACGTTTCTACTGTTAGGGGAAATCTTCCTGACGGCGATCGAAAACCGATGTTGTATATCTTTCACGATAGTTTCGCCGTCGGTGAATAGTCAGTGGCGGTTTGGTTTTCGTCAGAAAACTCGACTTTCCGTGACGCGTTTTTTCTGGCGACGGCTTATCCACGATGGTAACCAATCACAGATGACCTTTCCGACGGTTTTGGTTTTTTTCACCGCGGAAGAGACCGTCGGGGAAAAAACTGAGCCAGGTAGTGCTCTCCTCTCTCTTTCTTGCACCAACAGCACACTAGAACCAATTCGTTCTAGTTAAAATGTTTTCAGCATGCAATATAGAAAAATGGTGGAAAAATTAGATTTTCCATTTTATGGTTTTTCTGTGATTTACTATGATTTTTCAAAAATTCAGCCGAAATAAATAAAAAAGATAAAGATAAAACCGTATTTAAAAACCGCTTATAACCGGTCATGGAGGTAAAACGAACGATTTTAAAAGTTCCGGGAGGTGGTTTACTTGGTTTTAGAGTTCAGAGAGGAAAAACAGACTTTCGCAAAAGTTGATGGAGGTGGTTTGCCTGCTCATATATCTCAGTCTCAGGTCTCAGCTATTACATGCGCGCTTGTTTGGCCCATTATTCCACCACAACCACAAGGAAGCAAGAGCAACCACGGACCAGAGAATAAGATGTCGGCCCACTGTTCCATGATAACCAGGAGTCACGGAGGAGCTGGCTTGCCTTTTCTTCCCCTAAAAAAAAGGCTGGCTTGCCTTTTGTTGGAGGAGCTGGCTTCCCTTTTCTTCTAAACAAAACCCTAGTTTGGATTTTTTTCCACCCTTTTCTCTCAATTTTTTTTGCAGATCTCTACCTTGTTCTCCCAAGTATTTCATGCCAATACAAAATAATATTTCATGCTATTGTTCCGTGCATTTGAAACCTCACAAGTTATGTTTCCACGTATCAATATGTGGCATGCCAAAGTAAATGTCACACTGTCACTATTTGTATGTCGGTCTGAAGGACCAAAATGGCAACTAAAGGGGGAGGGTGAATGGGAGACTTAAAATTCTATTCACAAGAATGATAGATGTTAAGAATTTCTCAATTAGAGGATTGATGGGCTTATACCATATATACCTTGTAGGTTACCATATATGCCCTGAAGGCTATTATCTATATTCATGGATTATATGTATACTTGGAATGACTAATAAACAGATGGCTCCCCTCATATATGTGTGTTTTCTGTGTTCTTATGTGTTGTTCTTGAGGATTAAGAAAGGAAGACGGGATCTATATACGACTTCTACACATATACGCCTCTTTATTGGGATTGAGAATGAGAAAACGGATCTGGCACACTACCACAGAATGGAATTTTCTTGGCGGCCAAAAACCGCCAAGAAATATAGGAAAACCGCCAAGGAAATGTTTTTTGGCGGTGCACCGCCAAGCATGAACCGCCAAGTTTGGATTGCAAGGAAAATAGAGTTTCCTTGGCGGCTGGCCCTCAAGCAATGTTTTCTTGACTGCCAACCTGCCAAGAAAAACATGGACATGTAACAACCGACAAGAGGACAGGAAAATGAGTAGACCGACAAGTAAATACATTTTCTTGAGGGTCATACAACGTCAAGTAATCATATTTCCTTGGGGGTGCTTGACCGCCAAGTAATTGCATTTTCTTGAGTGCTACTTACCGCCAAGTTAAGGGTGTATTACTTGGCGGCCTTAAACCGTCAAGAAACCTTGTTTTCCTTGTCTGTTGTCCCGCCAAGAAAATTAATTTTCCTTGCTCCCTTCTCAGCCAAGGCAATACATTTTGCACAAATATGGTAGCCAAGGAAATATGATCTCGCCAAGGAAAAGGCCGAAATATTTCACCAGAACAATTAAATCGAATGGATCAAACAATATCCATTAATGATACAATAGTCATATAGATAATAACATCAGAAAATCATACATAACATGCAACATCCGATGGTTCATTACAAGACCATTTTGCAGATATATACAAAATCTATATGGCAACATTGTTTCATGCCTTCATGTAGCAGCCATGCTTAAGGCAACATTACTCACTACATTAGCAAAAGGATAGGCGGGCACCAAAGACCAGTCATGCCTACATGTCAACAACACATGCTTAAGGCAACATTGCTTACTACATCAATCAGCAAAAGGTTAGTTGGTGCGCACTTGCATTTGGAGGGTACCAGCACCAATACACTACAACACTATTGGTTTCTACCAAATTAGACCAAAAGGAAATCCAAACTGCAGCCTACCAGTCACTTGGAGCCATTGGCGTTACCATGTCGTGTGCCACTCCCATCTGTTCCCACTCTCATCTTTTTGTTGCGTGCATGGCCAGTTAAGTGCTCATCGTCACCTTGGACATTTTCAACATCTCTGCAGCCATTGCCATCATTATCCGGGTCCCAACAAGCATTCTATAGATTATTGGCTTCATCATAAATGTCATCATGATCATCTTCCTCGTACATGCCATCATCACCTGACATGTCCTCATCAGCTTCATCATCAGTGCTATCCTCATCAGTGTAATCCTCCTCATCAGCGCCATCAATAGTGTAATCATCATCAAATTCGTCATCATTGTAGTTGTAGTTGTACCAACCATTATCAACAGATTCAGAGCCTCCAAGTGATAAACTTGTAGTCTGCAAGAAGCAATATAGTTGTACTCAATATACTAGTTTCCTATTATTAGCAAAACTCAAGTGAACCAATACATATTCCTAAAAAATATCTTTTTATAAACACTAAAAATATCTGTGCAAACAAATTGTGTCATTACTGTTTTTCTTGCTTATTCACAATACACTTTTTGTTTACTCAAGTAAAGCATAGAAGAATGAGTTGTCAAGATAAAGGATGATCTTAAGGTCTTATATCAATGTTCTTTGTTTACATAAAGATTCTCTTTTTGTCCATTTTTACGCCAAGCAAAACTGATCTTGGCTACCTTACCATCAACATAAAACTAAGAATGGCATTTCTAATCAACAAGAAGCCACTTTTTCACTTCTGCAAACTCGCATTGCCATTACGCCACCAAACATTATTAAATCTCTAGATGAAATGTCCAGAAAATACAAAGTATGAAACGTGCAAGATAATAAAATGAATGTTGTAACCTGGTTGCGGCGGGCATCAATGTTTGCTAAGTACTGCAGCAGATCAGTGAGTGGTTCTTTTTGAAATCCGCATAAATTCTCTCTGATTAAAAAGCACCCACATAAAAATGCATGCATAGGGCGAGTTAAACAGTGTAAATAATAAACAATTTTTACCATGACAAGGTCACGATGGACACCATTTTCCTCAATGAGTAGCCCATTAGTTTCTTTCAATCGCTCATTTTCAGCGATCACACTTCGATACTTATCATGATTGGGTGGCATAACCGATGCTGATTTGGCATGTACTAGAACACATGCCTTATCCACAGCACCATCGCCTATTAGAACACGGCCATGGGGCACTCCACGTGCCATGGTGTACAATGCTTTCCCATCAAGTACTTTTGAATTCTCATCTGGAGCTAGTGCTTTGTAGTCATCCTAAAATGAAGATAAGATGAAATTAAGATGGGCATGTGAAATAAATTATGTTGTAATACATTCAGGAAGTAAACAATCATGCAAAAAAATATCAATAATAGATAAAAGTATGAAGAGCAGACCAAACGTTTCTGTGCTTTTTGGCTAGGGATTGGACCACTCCTTCCAGTGCTATCCACATTCTTAATTCCGGATTTCATTACAACAAATGTGTTTATAGTGCCACTCTGATGCCCAGGCCCAAAAGTATATTCCTGTAAAACCAGTAAGAAATTATGCATGAAAAAATGTACTGCAGGTCAATGACTTCAGTAAGACAAAAATGATTTCTCCTACCAGGAATTGTTGTGTCTCTGTAAAATTTATTGAACCTCCTCTATTTTGAGCAGGATCTTCAGCACTCATGCGTGACTCTTGGGCTCTGTGCCTCTTTTCCTTGTACTCATCAGAAGTCCAGTATTTGGAGAACCAAGTCCAGACTGTCTTATTGCACCATTCAATACGAGCAGACAAGTATTCTGCTTCTGTAAGTTCAATGGTGCGTGCTCGTGTATCATCACAGTTCTCACCCC